GAGACACCTGGTGTTGGCGCCCCCAGCCCTCCTGGGCCGAAGGTCACCCATGGGGTCTCGTCCCCTAGATCAAGAAATATGAGAAGCTGGAGACGGAGGAGGAGCGCCTGGCCTGTAGCCGGGAGATCTTCGACACCTACATCATGAAGGAGCTGCTGGCCTGCTCACACGTGAGTGCCCCGGACCCGCCTGCTGGCCCAGGGCCGCCTGGGCGTGGGGAAGGGACGAAAGGACCCTGTGGAGAGTTCACAGCCACCTCTGTCTTCCCCAGCCCTTCTCGAAAAGTGCCACTGAGCATGTCCAGGGCCACCTGACGAAGAGGCAGGTGCCTCCGGATCTCTTCCAGGTGTGTGCTAAGCTTAGTCCCCAAGGCCTTCCAGCCCAGCCAGGGTCACCTCCGGCCGAGTCAGGGAGCCTGGTCAGCTCGCACTCTGGCGCGGTGACCGACCCCCATCTTCCTCCCTTAGCCATACATCGAAGAGATCTGTCAGAACCTCCGAGGAGATGTGTTCCAGAAATTCATCGAGAGGTGAGAGCTGGGTGCATGTGGGAGAGGAGGGGGAGGGGGAGGCTGCCCTGAGGAGGGGTGTGGATGGCGTGGAGGAGGGAAGCCACCCCGTATTAGGCCCCAGGCAGGGGGCACCTGTACCCGTCAACGCCTCAGTGCGGGAACTCTTGAAAGCTTGAGCAAGCTCAGTCACCGCCGCCTCTGTGCGCCTGCCCCGCCCTTCCCAGCGCTGGGCACCTCCAAGCCTGTCCGGGGCGATTGTCCAGGGAGCAAGGGTCCGCCTGTGCGCCTTTCCCGCTCATGGACTGTCAAGCGCCTTGCTGGGCCCATATGGGGTGAGAAGCATCGGGGTGGTGGTAGGGGAGTTCACAAGAGGACACACTGTCCCCCGCCCCTCACCGCCAGAGCCCACCTCGGGGGTTGTTTGATGCAAAGGACAGCTTTCTTAGGGTCCCAGCTCTTTAGCCGCGGAGTGGGGGCCTCGTGGCGAGTGACTGCTGCGTCACTGGCAGTGTGCAGGCGGCAGCGCGACGGGCATCGTCAGGATACGGTAGCAGGATATCTAGGTCAGGCTGGAGAACCTCCTTTCTAAGCTTATCTGATTGTAGCAGGAACCCAAAGACAAACTGCCAGGCTCTGCTCGGGCCTGCATTTGGGGTAGGGGCCCCACTCAGGACGGTACTATTCCTGGATGGTCCCGGAGGAGGACACTGAGGCTTGGGACTCCGGGAAGTGGCCGTGGGGTGGGGCAGACTTCTGCCAGCATCATCACACTTTCTGAGACTCGTCTGAGCCCAGATTCTTCTCTTACAGTGATAAATTCACACGATTTTGCCAGTGGAAGAATGTGGAGCTCAACATCCACGTGAGTGGGCTGGGTGGGAATGGGGAGCTATGCTCCCTGCTGCTGCTCCCCAGGGAGCTGGACCTTGGGCTTGGCCAGGGCCAGGGAGGTCAGGGGAGTCTGCCCCCAACCCTCAGCACAATGGCTATGGGGTCAGTGTCAGGATCTCCTTGGGGGTGGCTCAAGGCGAGTAAGCACGTGGCGAGGGCAGCCATGGGTAAGGGACCCAGGCCACCTGTGGTGACTCCCTGTGTTGCTGCCCCTGTAGCTGACCATGAACGACTTCAGCGTGCACCGCATCATTGGGCGAGGGGGCTTCGGCGAGGTGTATGGGTGCCGGAAGGCCGACACGGGCAAGATGTGAGCGCCTGCTCAGCGGGCATCGCCTGGGATTCCTGAGGGAAGGGAGGGCCCCGGAGGTGCCCTGAAGGCCTGGGCGTCCCTGGGAGAGCTGTGAGGGGGTCGGGGCCCCAGGAGCCAGGCGGCAGGGCCCTGAATGGCAGGTCTCTGCAGAGGGCCGCGTGCCTGCCGTTTGTTCATTAGAGGCCCCAACCCACCAGCATACATCGTCTGTATGCCCTTTCTCTGTCTCAGCATCATGCCTGCCGTTTGTTCATTAGAGGCCCCAACCCACCTGCACTTTCTCCTGCCCTTTCTCTGTCTCAGCATCGTAAGCTTGTCATGGTGTCTAGTTTTCCCCCAAAAGGGAGCTCCCCCTACCCCCGACCCAGGGCCCCCGAGCAGCCCTGGGCTCTGCACTGCAGGTGCCTGTGGACTGACGGACCGACTTCCCCAGGTACGCCATGAAGTGTCTGGACAAGAAGCGCATCAAGATGAAGCAGGGGGAGACCCTGGCCCTCAATGAGCGCATCATGCTGTCACTCGTCAGCACCGGGGTGAGCTGGGTGCGGCGGCCGGGTGGAGTGGCTGACCACTGGAGCAGCCTCGGGCTCTGGAACCTTGGGCAGCCTCTCCTGACCGCCCCCCACCCCTCCCTAGGACTGCCCGTTCATCGTCTGTATGTCATACGCCTTCCACACGCCAGACAAGCTCAGCTTTATCCTCGATCTCATGAACGGTGGGTGTGTGGCCCGGCCCCAGCTGGACCTCGGGGCTGGGTGCGGGGTCGGGGCAGAGAGCTGAGCGTCCCGTGGGGCTGCTTCCCTCAGGAGGGGACCTGCACTACCACCTGTCCCAGCACGGGGTCTTTTCCGAAGCCGATATGCGCTTCTACGCAGCCGAGATCATCTTGGGCCTAGAGCACATGCACAGCCGCTTCGTCGTCTACAGGGACCTGAAGGTGAGGCCCAACAGCCTGTCTCTTCTCTCAGCGCACCTGGCCCTGCAGGCCCACGGGATCGGTGTCCCCAGGACGGGGCTGGCTGGCTCTCGCTGCACCCTCCCTCCTACCCAGACATTTTCTGGAATCTGGCTGTGACTCGGGGGAGGTGATGAAGGCCCCGCTTGGGGCCTTGTCCCTGGATACCCATCACCCTCTAGAGTGAAGGCAGCAACCTAGCTGGCATCTTGCCTGGCTGGTCCCTATCCTGAGTCACCCCGGGGCCAGCTCATTGGGCTTCCTCCACAGCCGGCCAACATCCTCCTGGACGAGCATGGCCACGTGCGCATCTCAGACCTGGGCCTGGCCTGCGACTTCTCCAAGAAGAAGCCCCACGCCAGCGTGTGAGTGCCCCAGCCCCCACCCTTCCTTCCTAAACCCTCTGCCAAACCTGCTCATGGCCTCCTTGTTTCCACAGGGGCACCCATGGGTACATGGCCCCTGAGGTCCTGCAGAAGGGTGTGGCCTATGACAGCAGCGCCGACTGGTTCTCCCTGGGCTGCATGCTCTTTAAGCTGCTGCGGGGGTGAGTGGGCCGTTTCAAGCGGGCAGGTGGCCAGAGCAGAGCAGCTCTTCCTGGGTCTAGATTGGAGGCTGGTGCAGGAACCCACAGCTGCCTGGGCATTAGGAGTGGCACAGTCACTAGCTTGGGACAAGGATCATTGATGCTACCTGCCTCAGTTTCCCCATTCCTGTCCTCTGATCTTTGGCTTTGACCTCTCTTGCCTAGGCACAGCCCCTTCCGGCAGCACAAGACCAAAGACAAGCATGAGATCGACCGCATGACGTTGACCATGGTGAGTGCAGGGTTCCAGCCTAGGGATGCTGGGCGGAGCCTAGGGGGCCACGGTGAGGCTGGAGTCTCCCGTGGGCATCAGGGTCACAGACTCTTGGTTCTTACCAACCAAGCAGTGACCTCGGGTGGCTCATCCCTACTTTGGTCTCCTGTCCCATAGGTTCCCTACCTGTGTTGTCAGCATACATGCTTGCTGCGGGGGAGCTAGGAATCTGGGCCCTGTGTCTCCCTTTGCCAGGGGCCCAGAGACCCCCTGCCCCCACTTCGAGCAGTCTCAGGATCCCCAGAGCTGTGTTGGGGCCAGGGGTCCTTCTTTGGCCCCTGCCAGGAATCTGGGCCCTGTGTCTCCCTTTGCCAGGGGCCCGGAGACCCCCTCCCCCCACTTCGAGCAGTCTCAGGATCCCCAGAGCCAGGGGTCCTTCTTTGGCCCCTGCCACTGTCTCACTCCTTCCCGCAGGCCGTGGAGCTGCCCGACTCCTTCTCCCCCGAGCTCCGTTCCTTATTGGAGGGGCTGCTGCAGAGGGATGTCAACCGGAGACTGGGCTGCTTGGGCCGAGGGTGAGTGCCCAGGACCAGGGCCACTGTCCAAGGCTTTGCCTCCCACCCGGGCCCTGGGCACTCGGGCATGCTGCGGTGTCCAGGCCTCTGCAGTGGCCCGCTGGGCCAGCATGCCTGGGGCTCTGCCTGCACCTCTCTGAGGACAAGGGCTGTCCCATTACTAGAACCCCCTCCATGATCCCAGCCTCCTCTGAGATTGGGCACAGCCAGCCCCGTCCATTGTCCTCAGGGTGCAGTTGTTGGAGCTGGCCAGGGACTGGCTTCTGGAGGGGCCCTTGTAACAAAGATGGTATGTGATGATAATGATGACGACAGCAGTATTTTATGTTTATCAAACATTTACCAAGTGCCAGGCACAATGCTGCAAGAGTTACCGTGTTAAAACAACAGCTCTACAGCGTGGGAGCTGCTGTGATCCCCATTTTAGAGAGGAGGAAATGGGCTCAGCTTTAAGGAACTTGCCCAAGGTCACAGAGCCAGAAAGTGACTGAAGCAGGAGTTAGCTTGGGCCACCTGCCCCATGGCCCAGACTTAGCCCCAGCCCGGATGACCCGCATCTCCCCACAGGGCCCAGGAGGTGAAGGAGAGCCCCTTCTTCCACTCCCTGGACTGGCAGATGGTCTTCTTGCAGAAGGTAACGGTGGAGGCCGGGGCCGGCTGGGCGCCCTGCAGCCCCTGCACCATTCTGATGCCCAGCCCCCGTTCTGCCGCAGTACCCTCCGCCGCTGATCCCCCCACGAGGGGAGGTGAACGCCGCCGATGCTTTCGACATTGGCTCCTTTGATGAGGAGGACACGAAAGGAATCAAGGTACTGGGCCTGGCCTCCCTCACCTGAGCCCCGCCCAGGGGGCATCCTTGTCCCTTCTCTGCCTCTGTGAGACCCTGCACCAGCCCTGTCCGCTCCTCCTCCCCAAACATCCCAGGGCGGGGGCGAGGGGGAGGGTTAGACCAAACCACCTTGCCCTAGCCCTGGGGCTGGGCAGGCCTGTGGTGATGGATGGCCCTGCCCCACCCCCACGGTGCAGTTACTGGACAGCGACCAGGAGCTCTACCGCAACTTCCCCCTCACCATCTCCGAGCGGTGGCAGCAGGAGGTGGCAGAGACCGTCTTCGACACCATCAATGCCGAGACGGACCGACTAGAGACCCGCAAGAAAACCAAAAACAAGCAGCTGGGCCATGAGGAAGGTGAGGGTCCTCAGCTGCCGTGGGCGCCCACCGCCTGCTTTAAAGATGAGAAACAGGCTCTTGTCTCAGGGACCCGAGAGCAGCCGAACGAGAGCAGCGAACCGGGATTCACACCGGGGCGGGGCCTCTCTCGCTCTCTCGCGCAGACTACGCCCTGGGCAAGGACTGCATCATGCACGGCTACATGTCCAAGATGGGCAACCCCTTCCTGACCCAGTGGCAGCGGCGGTACTTCTACCTGTTCCCCAACCGGCTCGAGTGGCGGGGCGAGGGCGAGGCCCCGGTAAGGACCCGCGGGGCCGGGGCAGGGCCGGAGTG